GTTTTAAGTTTTTCAGCGTCAAGTCTTAATAGTCTCTACCTAGTCTCTCTCATACAGTGGCCCACTGAGCCCCGCTTCACTTTTTGTTTTCACTTGTGTGTAAGAAATCGGAAAACCTAGGCTTTAGTCCTGCCTCTGCTACTTGTTGTGTAGCCCTGGGCAACTTACTTAGTCTACTTGGACTTCTGTTGTATCTCATGTATCAACAATGCTGACTCTGTCCACGAGAATCCAGTCTCAAGAAATTTATGATGAAGATTGACTGAGTAAGGTATGACTGCGCTTTGTAAACTGATGGGCGGACATCCAACAGACGTGAGCTCTGTGCACTATAAAGGGCAGGGAAAGGGAGCTGTGGCATACTTGGTCTTCTGTAGCCACCCCTGGGCACAGGGACACAGTACTTGTCAGCCAGTAGCTAGGTGGTTGGGTGAATCTTGCAGGATAATAGCTTAACAAACTACACTATTGGGTTTTAATCCTTAAGTGTGAGGAGCCAGAGCTTCCTGGCCCTGTGAGACAGCAGTGTGCCTCTAAACAGCCCCAGGATTCCACCACCTGACTAAGATGAAGCCTCTAGAATGCAAGCCTCCTCCCTGAGGTCGGTGTGGTAAGGTGGTAGACCAGCACCTATATCTGTTGTTGCATCAGATGAGCTGTGACCTCTTTCCAAGAGTTCCATAGTCTATTCGGTAAATTTTTGCAGTCCTACTATGTGCCAGCTCTCAGATCAAGCATAAAACCTTCCTTAATGTGGCTCACAGTCTAGGGTTAATGCTCAAAATCCTCTTCTGCTGCAACTGTTGCAGCTATTTCAGTCTGACATCTCTTTATGTGACTGCCAGAAGGATCTTTTTTTTCTTTTTTCTTTTTTAAAAAAGCTTTTTAATAGTTCCTTTTGACTAATAAAAAGCAATATGTGTTCATTCAAGAAGAATTGGAAAAATGACAAGAGTATAAACAAATTATATCACTCTTTTTTGTTTTTTAAATATTTTATTAGGGAATTGGGGGAGGGGAACAGCATTGGGGAATCGGGCAAGGGGAACAGACAAGTTGCTGTCCTTTTGTTCTTCAGTCTAGTTGTGGAGGATGTTGCTTCAGTGGCCCATGTTGGTATTGTGATTATTGCGCCCTTCCCAGGTGAGGCAGATCGGTCAACAGCCTCTGAACACCCGCTCACAGCGGCAGCTCACGCCAGCTGCTGGCCGCTCACACTGGCTGCCGCCCACTCACTGTAGCTTACAGCAGCCCACTGCAGCAGGGGCTGCAGCCTATGCCATTGCTGGTGACTCACAGCAGCCCAGCTCCAGGTCGAGCTGTTTTTCACCATCTTAGCTGTAGAGGGCACAGCGTCACTGGCCCTCACATCAGATCCGAACCGGGGCCCTGCTGCTCAGAGCTGGCGTCCCAAGCCAGCTCTTAACCAACGCGCCACTCAGCCAGCCCTATATCACTCTTAATACCATCATCTAGACATGTTCAGTGCTGATTTAAATATGTTTTCGTCTGGATGCTTTTTAAAATAATGTAGTTAATAAGAGTATAAAATTTAAGTCCCATTTTCGTTTACTGTCAAAGACATTTTCCCAAATCATGAAAAGCTCTTATGAACATTAGACTAATCTTTCTAAAACTTAAATTCAATGATGTTACTNCAACCTCTGAACAGCCGCTCACAGCGGCTCACGGCAGCTCACGCCGGCTGCTGGCCGCTCACACTGGCTGCCGCCCACTCACTGTAGCTTATAGCAGCCCACTGCAGCAGGAGCTGCAGCCTACGCCATTGCTGGTGACTCACAGCAGCCCAGCTCCAGGTCGAGCTGTTTTTCACCATCTCAGCTGTATAGGGCGCAGCGTCACTGGCCCTCACGTCAGATCCAAACCGGGGCCCTGCTGCTCAGAGCTGGCATCCCAAGCCAGCTCTTTAACCAAGGTGCCACTCATCCAGCCCTATATCACTCTTAATACCATCATCTAGACATGTTCAGTGCTGATTTAAATACGTTTTCGTCTGGACGCTTTTTTAAATAATGTAGTTAATAAGAGTATAAAATTTAAGTCCCGTTTTCGTTTACTGTCAAAGACATTTTCCCAAATCATGAAAAGCGCTTATGAACATTAGACTAATCTTTCTAAAACTTAAATTCAATGATGTTACTTCCCTACTTAAAATTCTCCCATCATTGTTATCAGAAAGTAAAGTCCCTTCTTCTTAAGCTACACACAAGGCTCCTTATGACCTGATCACCGCATACTTCTTCAGGATTATCTATTTCATTCCTCACCTCTTCTTTTTCTAATACTGACTCCTCCCCAACTCACATAACACAGCTACTTGCCAACCCACCCTCCAACTTAACACCCTATATCCTGCCTATATATACCAGGCAGCTTTCAGCTTCTCAGGCTGCTCTATGTAGTTTCACAACTTGATCCTTTACTCACAGTGCTGCTCCAGCCTGGAATGTTCTCCCATTGGTATATCCAATTTAATCTTTTTCACGTCCTAATATTCCGTTCAAGTGTTGCCCCTTCCATTAAGCCTTTCCCTTTCCTCTCCACCCCACCGTAGAACTGCCTACTCCTTTTTTCATCCTCCATGGCACCTCTTCTGTCGAGAAGAACACCCATTATAGCTTAGATTGTGGAGGGCAGGGAACCATATCTTACTCATCTGTGATTCTCCAGCACTTTGCAAACATTCAGCATGTAGTATGTGCTCGATACATATTTGCTTTAGTACAAATGATCATTTACAATACTGTGCAGTGAATGCCATGCAGGACGTGTGTGAAGGGTGTTATAGGAACCCAGAGGAAGGGCGTTTATGGGTACATGATCCAAGATTTGGCGGATAGGAAATGTGTTCATTTTTAACATGGGGACAGCCTTCCTCCTCACTCAGTCTACTCTTATGAATTCTATTTTCATTTCTGTTCCCTGACCTTGGACCAACTATAGCAACACCCATTGTGCAACTTTCGTTGCTCCCTCCTTGTACTCTTTTTCCTTTGTCTACGGAGACTGTTGTAGACTGTGCCCCGGTAGGGCAGAAGTCTTCCCTGTGGCTGCACAGCCACCACTCATCAACCAGCCACCACTGCCTGTTTCCCCCCAGGAGGGCACAGAGAGTTGCAGGTCACCCCTAGGGGCCCTTGACCGAGACCCAGTATCCCAACTCTAGCATAGGTAGCCACGTCCTCAGAGGGAATCACTCTTGAATGATTATAAGTATTTACAGCCAGTGCCATTATTTGAGGCTGACTGCCCAGCCTACAGCTTAGCCAGACCCTTTACTTCCCTCTTCTTCCAATCTCATAGCTTCTGCCCTTCTCAACTTGGACTTCCCTGGAGATACTTGGGCATCTTGGCTGATAGAGCAGGTCAGGCAGGAGGAGATGGACTGTATTTTCCTGCATGACACTTTGGACTAATCAGATGTCCTTCCCTCTGTAGAAGAGTTGACGGAGGACCTTGCCAAGCTGGATGTGCCATAGGAGAGCCTTGTAGGCAGAGATCTAAGCCTGTTTTTTTAGGCCTTGCAGCCAGCATCCTGCCAGCCAACTGTCTGCAGAACAAAGACTGTAACAGGACAATGGCGAGAGGAGAGGGGAAGTAAAAGGCATGTAATCAGATCAATCACCAGCTGCGTCCATCTGCCTGGGGAGCCTGTCTCTGGTGATGGCACCAGGGAACATGTCACATGTCATTGGAAAGCCTGCCTGTCTGGTGGCTTGTCAAGCCTCAGCACCAGACACTCATTTCCTTAATAACTGGTTACGGATCCTGAACCTATAAATTTAGCTAAACTCTTCTTGACCTTTCCATATTTTTAGCCTATGCTGCTTCTCTGGATAACAACTTCCATGGTTGACTACTTGTTCTATAAAATACCTTCCCGTCAAGTTACAAGAAATCCTCTTTCTCAAGCTTAAAGACCCTGTCCTCTTAATTCTAGTTTCTAGTGTTGGTAACAAACTCATATTTGGCCCTTGGCTCATTCTATTTATTTGGCGATAGAATAGGGGGAAAGAAGGTTGACATCTCTTCTTAGTTTTAAGTTTTTCAGCGTCAAGTCTTAATAGTCTCTACCTATTCTCTCTCATACAGTGGCCCACTGAGCCCCGCTTCACTTTTTGTTTTCACTTTCCTGGACTTTTTCTACCTCTGTTTGGCCTCTGTTAAAATTCAGCAGCTAAGAGAGTTCATGACAGATACTGCAAGTGCAGGTTAAAACCATGCTGAAGCCTTTTGTTTCTACCTTTGGGAACACTTTTTGATCTTTGTGACTTTAACCTGAGGGCTGATGTTTTCAAGGACTATTGAAATGAAGCCTTTCCCTGTAGCCACAGCGGCTGTTGTAGACAGGCGTTTTGTATGGAGCATTCGGATTAGTCTCCCATATTTGTTTTACAGTTCCCACCTTGACCTTGATCTCCAGTCTTACTGTTTCTCC